AAGTCATATGACTTAGCTGCAGCCACTGTGCCATGATCAACAGCAGCCCCCTGCAGGCTATTAAAGTACCCATACTTGAGGTGTCAGAGGTAGGCACCATCAGGCACGCAAGAAAGGCGAAAAATTCATATGAGGGAAGTGATACTGAGACCTTGTCACAGCAGAGGTGAGTTGCTGCTGGTTTCGGCCCAGGTCAGGCAAACCGGTAGTAGCAACAGGAGGAGGCTCCGCCCGCCCACCCAGATGTTTCTGCACATGCACAGAAGCATGTGCAGAAGTGTCCAGGGACTTCTGTGCATGTGCAGAAACATCTGGGTGGGCGGGCGGAGCCTCCTCCTGTTGCTACTACCGGTTTGCCTGACCTGGGCCGAAACCAGCAGCAACTCACCTCTGCTGTGACAAGGTCTCAGTATCACTTCCCTCATATGAATTTTTCGCCTTTCTTGCGTGCCTGATGGTGCCTACCTCTGACACCTCAAGTATGGGTACTTTAATAGCCTGCAGGGGGCTGCTGTTGATCATGGCACAGTGGCTGCAGCTAAGTCATATGACTTGGTTACAGAAAGGCTAGTAATATACTTTAGCATTTATTCTTCACAAGTTGTACCAGCTACCCAATTGCTTCTTGGCATATCTCAATGCTTTGTTGTTGACTTATAAGACCCAGCAAACTCACCCAGTTTGAGACAAAGAATTTGATGGAAAGCATCTTCTGATATGCACCAGTCCAGGCAAATTGTTTTTGAATGGGACTTGCTTAGGATCATTTTATCTCAACTTAGGTTTATTCAGATGTGGTGCCCTGGGTATGAAATTTCCTATCTTTGGAGGAATGTCCAGTGTCTTGTGATTCCACCAGTTTCTTAAATAAATCTGCCTTTGATTTTCATTTGTGCTAATGCTGCTCTTGCTGCCAATTGTTTTATCTTTTGGTTTTCACTTTTGATACCTTGTATGTTGTTCTAAATTTGTCAATCTAATAATCACTGTTATTTTTCTATGGAATAACTTGAATATTGCTTTCCAAACAATCCTGTTTATTCAGAGATAAATCCTGGTTATGTATTGTGCCTCCTTGTAACTTGACAGAGAAGCAAATTTTGCTGAATTCTATTGTCCCACTTCTCTAAATTCTCTAAATCAAAATTCTGATTTGAAGGAAAAACTACTGCATGTATTAGAACACACGCTTGCGCTTTATATTCGGACTTACTTTAGGAAAAGTTCTTTATCTCATTGCTTCCTTCCAGTCCAGAAATTTACATGTCCTGACTTGGTAGCCCCACCCTCTTTCAAAATGGGTGAAAAGAAGACTCTCTTGGGACTACTGTATGTAAAGGTATGCATCTTCCTGGACAGAGGTGGGTTTCACATAATTTTACCACCAGTTCGCCACACACAGAAACTGAATGTGTGCCTTCTGCGCATGCACTTCGTTCTCTCTCACAGCTTGCAAGCGTGCACACAGCTTAGAAAATGTGGCTAAATAGGATGGCATAGCGTCAGGGCAGGTGGGTTGGTCCACCCACAGGTCGCCACTATCGGTTCTCCTGAACCGGTTCAAACTGGCTGGATATCACCAGTCCCTGGAGGATTACCATAGCCTAAAATCCTCTTCAGAATGTTTCTCTGGTTGCTCTTTTATCCTGAGATGCAGTGAATGGCTACTAGGAGATTGACCGTCAGTGGTACCTCTCTCAATTCTGGAATTCCTTCCCTGGAGACTGGTAACCAGACTGGTATCTGGTTCATTAGCTTTCTGATACCTGGTAATGAGGAATGATGTTCCAGAAGAGGAATGATATTCCAGAAGTTGGGTGCCACATCAGAAAAGGCTTTTCTTTGGGGCCTTGGAAGCCAACACACCTTGGTCAATGCCACCAACAATAAGCTTCTCCTGTCCGCTTGGATAGGTAGAAACAGTCAGAAAGAGATGTCTCAAAAGCTAAAGCTGTAATTGTATTACTTTTATTCTACTGCACTCTAAAGAGTTGAAAGTTAATGCTCCCCCTCTTTTCCTTTACCCTACTTCTCTCCCCCTTTCTTTTCCTCCCCCACTTCCCTACTATCTTTATTTTAACTTGTATTCTATATGTTGATAATTTCAATACACACACACACACACACATGAAAGAGATGGCTTCATAAGTAACCTGGATCTATGTTGTGGGGCTACCAGCACCTTGAAAGGAACTCAAAAGCAGACTGGTGTCACATGCGCCTATTAACCACCCATGGGACTGCATTCTGTGCCATTGGAACAATCTGAATGCTCTTCAAGAGCAGCCCCATGTAGTGTGCATTGCAATAACCCAAGTAAGAGGTCACAAAATATAATTTCTTCTTCCATTAATAGATTTTTGCAGTAGTTTTAATAGAGTGTCCAGTGATTTGCAGGTGGTATAGTATGAATTTAGAAGGATGAAGTTACCTTGAAGTAAGATGGGCAGCCTATAAATAAAATAAATAAATAAATAAATGATGTTGTTCAAAAATGATTCAGCTACTGAGAAGAGATACATATTTGATTATTCCTGACTTGTGCAATAATCTTTTGACCACACTTCTTCTGTATCAAATAGACATTCCTATTATTTATCAGCTTTACAATCATCTAATAGAAATATAAAAGATCAACCTGGCAGCACTATGCAGAATTTGCAAAAGTAATTTCAACCATCAAAACTGAATCAGTTGTATCTTTCCTCTGCCTACAAAAATATTTCCAATATTCGGGGTTTGTTACCAAATGTTTTAAATTGTTCTGCATCTGCTCAACGGTTCTTAGTTGAGATTTTACATATACCAAATTTTATGCTGAAATTGATAACTCACATTTTATGACAGTGAATTTTAGAAAAGTAGTAGAATGTTAACAACACCTCCATCCCAGTGGTCCAATTCAGTCGGTTCTATCCGGTTCAGGCAAACCAGTAGCGGTGGTGGCGGGAGGCTCTGCCCACCCGCTTGGATGTCATCGAGTCCTGTTTTTGATGGAGGTGGTGCGTACATTCACATTTGTGAACCAGTAGCGAAGGTAAGTTGATGTCACCCCACCCCATGCCTAATATTTAATATAAGAATAACAGTGTCATTCCAATAACGCTAGTTATTAGTATTATGCTGACGAAAGGCATCAAGTGAGACAACAGATGACTCTCTTTTTTCAGTTCACAGAACTCCAATTCTTTATTAATCACATCTTGCTCACAATGACATACAGGAAAATAGCACTAATGAAGAGTAAAATACGCAGGCAGCAATTTCCAGGAGAGTTTGGGATACCTTCAAGCTGGCAGCTGTTTTAGACAATATGTGTGTTGAGTTTGGTGATATTATTTGACACAAGCACCTTGGCTAGCCATCCTGAATGCTTCAGCCCTCATCATTTAGATAGTGTTTTAAAAGTAGGCAGGACAGACTAACACTATAGAGCAGAAGTTAGTAGGATTAAGACCAGCTCACTGTTTTGGGATGAAAAATAGCACACGGAACATCTTACAGTGTTATGAAATCACAAAGCTTAAGGTTGGAATTCTGTCTGCAAAGATGCTCTTAGTCTCTTCACAGATTTTAGCAACTGGAGACAAGACAATATGCCTATTTCCCAAATGGATATTCTTCAGACACTGTGGGTTATGAAACTTTGGGAACTGCAATCTAGGAATTGTAGTGCCAACACAAGAAGGTGCACCAGGTTTTGAAAAGCTAGAGCAGTGCTTCTCAATCTCAGCAACTTTAAGGCATGTCCACCAACTCCCAGAATTTTCCAGCCAGCATTGGTGGCTGGGGAATTCTGGGAGTTGAGGTCCACACATTTGTCAAGTTGCCAGGTTTGAAAAACATTGGACTAGAGTCTTAGAAAATGAAACTGACTGCAGTTTTTATACCTATAAATTCCATGAATTTTTCTGGCAGTGAATCTGAAACTTGGAAATTTTGGAATCTGGCCAAATATGGTGGTTCACTTCCTGTTGCATACAACGCCTTTTTAAAAAGTATCCATGATCTATTTAGCTTCTTGTTGAGAAAAATTTTTTTTGTTTCTAAACTTAAGATGTGCAGCTTTACTGAATACTGTTTTATACCACAATAAATCCTGATGTGTTCTAAAGGCTTTTTCCTTTAGATGCCTACTGGGGTTACATTTCTCTGACCCCCATGGAGCTGGTTTCTGTCCAGCACGGCTCTGTTTTCTCTATGGAAGAACACTGGGGTTGTAAATAAATTATGATTTCTTAATGTTCTATGACTTCATTTTTCTAGACCATTTAATCAAATAGGAATGCCTACCTGTAATTGGCTTATTGACTTAAGCTTATTGATTGCAAAGCTTTCCATGTTATTAAGTGATGACGCGACAGTAGCACCATAGACCTTCTGCTGACTTGGTTTTCCGTTAGAACGAGTATACAGTTTGGCATGGATTTTGCTGCAAAGAACTTCATAGCAAAGTTCTAACAAATTTAACTGAATGAAAACAGACAACATCAAAAGCCTGTTACAGGACGTGTAAAGATTATGAAATAACTTGCATAATGCAATACTTGTATTTTTTAACAAAAATGTAAGTATTTACAAAATAAGATCCAAGTTTTAATTTTAAACATCAAGCAAATCATTCTGCAAAGACTGCATTGTTTTAATTTTTTTTGTTTCATTTTTATTGAGTTCTTGATTCATTTTTTTTAAACCATGTCATACATTTCCTATACTAATATTTCATGATCTGTAATAATATAGGCAGGGGAGTTATCCGACTCCCTCTACTGCTGGGCTCAGCCAGACAGTTCCACCTGGAGCTCCTTGTTTCTGCGGACCTCTGCAGCATGCCTTTCCTGGGAATAAAGGGGCAAAATAGAGACAAGTTGAACATCTGCTTTCCTCTCTTTCTTCAGGAAGAATGTTAAATGGCAACAAGATATGGCCATCAACTTTACCTTGAATAAGGTTATAAAAGAAGCATTCTTAGTGAAGCGGAACACAACTCTTGTTCTTTGATTCATGATAGCAGAAGAAGAGAAGAACTGAGTTGAAAGGAACCTTGGAAATCTTGTAGTCCAGGGGTCTCAAACCTTGGCAACTTTAAGACTTGTGGACTTCAACTCCCAGAGTTCTTCAGCCAACAATTTTGGAATTTGGGGAGTTGAAGTCCACAAGTCTTAAAGTTGCCAAGGTTGGAGACCCCTGTTTTAGTCCAATCCCCTGCACAAGCAGGAAGTCCTAGACCATTTAAGACAACAGATTGCCAAGGTTCCTTTCAACTCAGTTCTTCTCTTCTTCTGCTATCATGAATCAAA